GCTGAGATTTGAAGAGAAACTAAACTTTCAGATCGGTACCCATACATTACTTGAGCGCAATGTAAAATTTGACTGAAAATGTTCGAAATATTAGACATTTTATATCTAGTCAGAATCGCCAGTTCTTACGCACACTGAGCGACACTGCAAGTGTAAACACAAAATTTTCGCATTTCTAAAATGTTACCGAAACTATGGTGCCTGGATCACGTCTTTGACTGGTGTGTTTACCGCGGCCAAAAAAGTGGTCCCTCGATTTCCGCTTGATGACGTCATAGAAGTGTCATGCTGTCGCCGGTCGCGACCCTGGTGGTGTTTCAACAGTTATGGTGTATGTAGCAGATGCCTGTTCTGCTGCAGGTCGCTTTCCACTGTGACAGTTCACGGAAGCTAGTGCAGCCGGTAGTTGGGACGCCTAACGGGACGCCGTGACGACAGCGACACTCGCGTTCGCTCGTGCTTTTTGCCAGCATTTCTACGGCCAACCGCCAGGATCGCGACAGGCAACAGCATGACTCTCGCGTCATTTGTTGCCACATCGGGACCACTTTTGATGTATGGGCGGGATAGGATGCTAAACACACCAGTCGAAGACGCGCTCCAGGCACCATACCGAAACTGATTACTGTTACAATTTCAGTTGATCCCCGCAGGAATACATTTTCGCCATCTCATTTGCTTTTATGGCGCCCTTCAATTTAAAGGAAAATATTGCCCTATTAAAAAAAAAGAAACAAAAGTCGATTGGGCCCGCCAGTATTTCTGGGATGTTTAAACGTACCCATAAAAAAAAAATACGGGTTTGAGATATCCGTCATTTGACTAAGGGGCCTGAAGTACCTTCGGAAAATTCCTAAAGTGTGTAAGAAACCCGTCATAATTTTTTAGAGGCTTGTGGGGACCCTTCCAATTCTTTCCGTGGAACCATCGACCCCATCAAAATCATTTTAACAAATCTGAAGGAAGGATCCCGCGACAATTCAGGATATGTGTGTCTTGGATGTCGCTTGGCCATTTTGTATTGGGCAGCCGCGATGAGTTTTCCATATTTAGGAGGCGTTCCACCATCCTTTCCCGTCGGGTCCTTATTGGCGACGCCAGCGAAATCAACACCACGTAGTGGCAACGCCGAGAAGCACAGGAGAGGAGGTCGTTTCCACTCTGTCGTCAGCTATCGTTTCGTGGTTCTCGTAGGCAGCATAGAAACGAATATTGTTTTCACTAGTTATTTTTATGCTTCCGCCGTGTCATTCCTGCGCACTGACTAGAACAAGGGTTCCACCGTCGAGAAATAGCTTTGCTTTCATATTTGACGTCAGACGTGACGTCATGTTTGATGTCATGAGGGTAAACGGTTCCCGTAAAGTAGGCGGGAATCGTTTCCGCTAAATTCAGAGGAGAGATTTTCTCGCTAAATTTAGCTTGGAATTTTTACCCTCTTCCCGTCCATTGTGACCGTTAGGTGTCACATCACTAGGGTAAAATTTACCCGCGAACTTTAACGGAGAAAATTTTCTGCTATTTTGAGCGAGGAGTTTTTACCCGCGTGATGGTCACGCATGACGCGACGTGTGACCTCGCGAGGGTAAAGTTTCCCCGCTGAATTTGGCGGGAAAGTTTTTCACTAGTGTAGCGGTAAAATTTCCCGCCAAATTTAGCCGGAAAAATTTCCCGCCAAATCCAGGGGCAAAATTATACCCTTTCTACGTCACACATGACGCCACGAGTGACGTCATCATAGGAAACGTCCCATAATGCAACGCGCGGTTACGCCGACGATGACGCCGCTCAATCCGGAAACGGGCGCCTTAGAGCTGCGCCTCTAACCGCTCATTCACACTAGAAGCGGATCCGCGTTCGAAAGCGGTTGCGAACGCGATTGTATAAAGTTCAGTACAATTGCACGGGCATTTGATGTCATCGAGTGCGCGTGCAATTGCACTGGATCTTTATACAAACGCGTTCGCAACCGCTTTGCGAACGCGAATCTTCTTCTAGTGTAAATGAGTGGGAAAACCGGGTTCCGTTTCGGTGCTCTTTTTATGCCGTTTTTTTTTTTGTTTAAAAGCAGAAGCCTCCGCTTCGGCAGGCCTTCTCGGGCTGTTCATGTCCGAATTTCCGGAAATCATAAGGTTGGGTATTTAGCCGGGTCGTCATATTCTGCTATTGAGAATGTAAGAGCGGAACGGTCGCTTTATGGGAGTAATCAAAGCTAAGCAAAGTCTCGCTAACCGGTCCTTTAACTAACATTATGAAGAACTTGACATAACATGTTTAATGAACGCCTCAAAAGGTGCAACGGTGTGAACTATCTGTCCTCTCATTTGACCGGAATTTCGCCGGAACGTAATTTGCAGACTGCGCCTCCCTCAAAAACTTAAACAAAGAGGGGAATTTTGGGTTATTATTTTAATGCAATTCAAATACAAAGGTGCAAGCGAGCTGAACGAAATAATCGAAAATTGTCTTTCCTCTCCCTTGGTCTTCTTCTCCAAAGATTTTCGTCACTCGTGACTAAGCAGTCACGGATGACGAAGACACAAGGCACTGTCAGGAAATGATATTATTTTCTGAGGGTGTCTTGGTTTCTAGCGTCGCAACGCCAGATTAGTCGCTCTGAAAACTACGGTTTCAGCTAAACCTTAAAAATATTGGCTGTGGTTGCGCGGTCGTCTGCTCCTCGCCCGGACATGCCAGAGTGGAGCCCGCGCAACCCACGCGTGAATAGGCTATACGTGCCACGCCCATCATTCGTTGAGCTTGTAAAATTCTATGCCCATGGCCGGTCTTCTTCAGCGTAAGCCCCGCGATGAAAGTTCTGCCTGACAACACTAAATATCTCGAAGAACACCAGATCCTTGAAAACAAAAAACAAAGTCCTCGACTCCCCGCCCCCATTCCCCGCGAACTCCAACAAAGTGTAATAGAAAAACTGGATGGCTTATTTGAGAACAGTTATTAAAACGTACATTGGTACACACTTTGAAACTGGAGTGCGAGCAGGATGCCCATCCGACCGCCCTCGATGTTCTCGATAAACACAAAATGGCGGATACTCAAAAAAAAAAAAAAGGCGTGGTGTTCATTACGCTAATGCTGACGCTAATTAAAGGTAGACCCTAAACCACGAAACCCTAATTATACTCCGCAAAATATGAGAAGGCGGGACTGGAGGTTGCGGCGGGTGGTTACTTTTCTTTGTTTGACCGATCAGCACTGGCAGTGATTTCCGCTCATGTAAAATTGTATGCCCGTTCTCGATACCAAGAAACTCGCCTGAACATGCTGACAAAGTTCGGGGAGCATATAATGTGTTGTGAATGAGCTAGACATATACTATGTGTGTGTGTATGACGTCACGTGGTGTGATGAGATCCCATGACTGTGACGTCACACGGTATCATGGTACCACGTGACGTCCCGATGGCATGTTATGTCACGGTTTTATTTACGTCGCGGCCTCACGTGACTTAAGGGAGTCGCGCGAAATCACGTTATTGCAAGACACCACGGTGTCATATGACCTCATTATGACACGTGATGTTACAGTCTTTTGTTGCGGATTTCATATAGAACTCGGCTGACGATGCACAATCCGTGTAAATTTTCCAATGGTTGTTGACCTGCATACAATCTGTCCACAACCATCACTTGGTTTTAACTCTAAAGGGAGCAACCCTACCCGGTGAAGTTACAGTGAAGTTAAAAAAAAATACGTTTTGCCTACTGAGCAAGGTTATACGAGCGGCGGCTGTACGCCAAAGAAAAAGTGAATACGAGAGCCGGTGGTAGAAATTTTAATTAGAAAGTCATCATATAGGTTGCATTCGGATTTGACTGAGCATACTTCGCACACACCTAAATTTCGTACCCATGTCAAGTGTCTAGTTACAGAATTGCAACAAAACACCTCATCCATACCGTACAGTCACGTGCTTTATGATGCCGTACGCCGGACTGTCGACCTCTCTGTGCTATCAGCGCCATGACGCGGCTGCCGTGGCAGCAACGTTATGGAGCTGATAGCACGGAGCGGTCGACGGTCCGGCGTTCAACTTCAGATCGCGATAAGAAAGCGAGGTGTCGCGGCAGGCGCGTCATGGCGCCGATAGCAGGAAGTGTGACGGTCCGGCGTGCACCTTTCTTTGCCGGCGGGTGTACTATCGGGGGAAAATGAAATGCGAACAGAGGAGCGCGTGGCTCGCGGTACAGGCTGCGCCGCCTGGAAGCGAACCTAGGGGCGAGGGTGCGTGGCCTACTTCGATGTGTTCACGCCCCTCGATTGGCGCTCCCCAAGCTTCAGCAGTGCGCTTCTCAATGCGCTGAAAGCTGTCAGCGCTATCTTTGCCTGCTCGGCGAGTGCGGCGAGCTTTGCACCGCACGCGCTGAGCCAGCAAAGATAGCGGTGATAGCTTTCAGCGCACTAAGAGGCGCACTGCTGAAGCTTGGGGAGCGCAGAGGGAGGGGCGTGAACACGTCGGAGTAGGCCACGCACCCTCGCTCCTAGGCTCACTTCTAGGCGGCACAGCCTGTACCGCGAGCCACGCGCTTCTCTGTTCGCAGTTCATTTTCCCCCGATAGTACATCTCATCCGTACCGTACGTGGCAAGTATTTCCAGTGGTTCGTGCTTTATGTAAATACATATACACCTCCCAAACTTACTCCCGAGACGCTTTCATTGAAATCAGGTATACCAGAAATAACCCCGAAATAAGGCTGCTTAAATTGAAACTTTTAAAGCTTCGCGGAAAAATAGGATTATCTAGAGTTGCATTTCTTGTAGACAGGGAACATAGCATCCTCTTTCTTTAACATATAATCTCCGATAAACATCTATATTTTGCACGATGCTGAGAAATGGCACAAAAAACACCGAAAATGTTAGTAAAAATAAAACCCCGAAAAAACATCCTAGAAACTTAAGTAAAAGTATCCCCCACAATGTCGAATCCTAAACGTATTTCACGAAGAACGCGTTACGTGCGCCCTCAAGGTGTTCTTACCTGAAAGCCGCCAGTTGCAGGGCCATCTGCACGTAGCCGTCCGGGCTCATGTTGCACGACTGGATGAAGTTTTTTCCATACTCAGAAAATGTATATAGAAGCCTCTGAGTGTCGTCGGAATACCTGTTGTGTTTAAGGACATCATGCTGGATCACTGCCTCCTTATGCGGTAATATTATACTTTGTTGTCTTATATTTTTTTCCTTAAAAGGAGCACTCGAAAAAGGGGCGAACTAATTTACTTGTAAACTAGTACGAGCGTGTTGACGTAGATAATAGCACACCTAAAGCTAAACAACATAAAAGGAGAAACGAGAACATATATGTACGGCCGGTACCTGTCTGTGCTCGTCCCTTGCTTTCAGTTAGCTTTTATTATACTAGTGTTTACATATATCTTTACATAACGTAAATTCGATTAACTTTCGAACTTTCAGCGTAACACCCCCCTACCTGGGAACTACCGTATGCTCGCGAAAAACTTAGGATTATAAACTAGCTTTTCTCACAGCCTTTCGGCCGGAAACTCGATCTCCCATCATATTTTATGAGATATCCTACGGAGTGGACACAGTGTAACTTACGCTCTAGAAAAAACTGCGGAGGTAGGCGCCTACCGATATAAAACTCAAACTTTCACCGATAATGTTCATTTAGGTGGTGAACTTGCCAAAATTCAAAGACGGACGTGTTTGCAGACGATCAAGTTACGATGCACGGGTGCCATACATTAATGTAACTTGTGGCGCCCTCTCACGTTAGATGTAGTTATATGACAATGAATCGGGTTGTCCACTCGCTGGGCCTATCAATAGATGGTACCACAAGTTACATTCATCAATAACTCTGCGGTCTCTGAAAACAACCATAGTTTATTTTGTCGAGCTTGCATCCTTTTGCAAAGAAAGATATATTAACCATCAAATTTTTGCACTGTAACAGCCTCCACATAAATACAGATACGGTGAATTATTCAACTTTTTGATGTGCACGAGTCGAGTTTTCAGGTTTTTATCCCTTCTTAAAACACACTATATCGGCCCTATTTTCTTTAAAAGATATTCAGAATGTGTGAGGTAACAAAGACCGTGTTAATACTCAGCTATTTCGCAGAGATATCTGATTGTAATATATAACGCTGACATCACAAGAACGCAGTTAAGATGCTCTAAAGTAAAACTACTCTGCGTCTCAAAAAAAAACAAAAAAAACATTTACGGCGTTTTTTCTACCGCAAAAATAAACTAGGCATTGCCGAACGCTCAATTTCTGCCCAAAGGCAGCGCTAGAGGTCACAACCAGATGCCAAAGTTTCAACCCGATCCGATACCTTCTTCAAAAGCTATAAGTGATTTTCTGAAAATTTCGATGGGCAAATGGAGCCCATTTTTGCCCGTTTTCGGTTTGTAGTGCCCTTAGAGCCCCATGTATTCGAAAACTCCGTCGGCCGCCATTTTCCCATTGAAACTTTCAGAAAATCACATAAGTTTTGAATAAGCTATCGGATCGGGCTGAAACTTTGGCATCGGGTTGTGACCACTAGCGCTACCTTTAGGCGGAAAATCAGTGTTAGGCGATGCTCAGTTCATTATTGCGGTAAAAAAACCAACAACAACAAAACGTGTATTTTTTTTGTGACATCCTGTACATAAACATTTATTAACATTTAGAGCGAGTGGTTTCGGTAGTCCGTAGCGGTGGGGACGTGGCGAATCTCGATGCCTCGTTCACGTCGTCTTCTTCATATCTTTTCTGTCGTTCCGGTTGATCGTTACAATCCTTAAAGGGCACATGTCTACTTTAAAATAAATGTTCATTTGTGCCTGATATTCTCAACGAGGTTTCCTGCAGGATCTCTTGCCGATTAAGAAGGGACCGTCCACAAATAACACTGTTTCAGCATTATTACTTTCTGGTGATCTAGCAGAACGTTTACTGACCTTGCTTGAAAAGATGTCGCCTTCTCTATTGCTTCTAAGGTATCGTGTGCGAGAACGAATTCCAGCTTTTGAGGAGCAGCTTCCTCGTTGCTTTCAGATGCATCGAAGCTCCCTGCCTTCTGGCTGGAGTATAAACCAAATATATTACCAGCAGCCGAAGAGCTCATGTGCCGATAGGACAGCGACATAGCAAGCACTGGTCTTCCGTCCACTGCCCCCATCGGCGACAGCGGCGGATTGAAAGCGCGTGGCGGCGCTGCGGGCAATCAGTCGGCGTGCCAGAGTTTGACAGTTACGAAACAAACAAAAATATCTGGAGAAATTACCACAAACACAAGCAAATGAGGACTTCGTAGATGAATTATTTAAACCTCCTGGCCTTCAGAAGCCTTACCCGGACTGGCCTTGCTGCCCTCTCTCTGTTCATTGCTACGGTGTAAAGGCCGGAATGGAAGAGGATGAACAACTTGAGTGTGTCTGTTATCGGCACTACATGCCCCGTACAACCTAAGAAAGGTAAATGTGTCCTTGCTAAGAAGGCAGGGAGGTCCACAATGATTTTATCATGTTGTGAATGAGAAAGCTTATTGATAGCGATTTAGGACGTGAATGGAAAAGATAGCAGCTACAACATGACACCGATTGCGGGCAGCGCGCCTTGCAATTTCATCCACGGCGCCGTCGTCTCGCTGCGCGGGGAGGGGCATTCGAACGGGAGATTATTGAGTCTTCTAAGGGACTATCGCACTGCGTCGACCGTGCCCGCATCTCCATGTAATATGTTTTAGAAAAAAAAATTATGTTAAAGAAACAATATCTAAGTGCCTAACTTATTCAAGTTTCTCCGGGTCGTAAATACTGGATTTGCTAGATGCATTATATTCTCTAATAACTTTACCGAATTCTGGCGAGTCATCAGTTTTTGCAGTCGTAAAAATTTAGTATGTAAAGAGAAAGAAAAATAACATTTAACATCTCGAATTAATTCTGGTAAGTTCATTTTTTGCCGACCTAAAACGAGAACAAAAGTATAAAAGCTGCGAGTACCAATCACCATGACCTCCCACTCCTGCCGTTGGACTGTTTAAAAAAAAAAAAAACGCCAATCTCTTTATGACTTTTGGTAGTTTTGACAAAAAATGTCGCCCAAACTGCAAGGTTGGACAGAATCGAGATACAAATGTATAGCGATAGTATTTCAAAAAAATACTTTATGTGTTTATATTTTTGTAAAGCGATACAATTTTTCAAATGTATTTTTTTGTATTTCATTATCAAATTACATTTTCAGGTGTATTATTTGTTTCGTGATACAATTAGGACCGATGTATTTTGCTCGGGGTGTCGAACCGTAACGAGAACTGAAATGCTCACTTCACCCGAACCGAAATGTTCGCGACACTTTGCAGCTGAACCTGAGCCAGAGCAAAACAAAAAAAAAAAAAAAAAAAAAAACGTTTTGAACCGGTTCGCCAAATGGTTCGGGCGAAAATTGAAGGTACTATTTTGTGAGCTGTGCGCTGGAAATTTTGAGAGGCTTAGTTAGCGCTGCGGAGCAAAGTGTTTCCCCTTACGGAAATACTTTTGTAAGAATACTTTACAAAGAAGGAGGTCAATGACTGCTGTTACTAAGTGTCAGAAAATCCGCCTGAGCCGCTCAAAGGCATCGCGCTTACGCGCCTGATAAAATACCGTCAGAACGTGACGACGGTATGACAGATCGAGCAGCTGCGGAATAACAACGCAGCATAAAATTCGGGTTTACTACGGTTTGTCGAACGCCATTTCATCCAAAAACGTTTTAGAGATCGGGCTCGTATTCTTAAAGCTCGGTTTAGGGGAAAACCCTCGAGCCTTCAACGAAAATTCGCGAGCCTTACGCGTGATCCTTATTCACTTTAGCGAAAATAAAACCAGTGCCAAGGAAACGCTTTGCCGGTGTCCGGCAGAAAGTGTCAGGAGAGGCAGAAATAGTAAGAATATGGGAGACTCTGAGTCTCATAGGGAACAGTTTTTGTCACTGAAAGTTGACCGCGCCACGTGTCTCAAATACGCAGTTCTTGGCTTGAACGTTCAATACGTCAAAAATGGGAATTCCACCCGCAAACGTTGCATATAATAATTGACAATGACGTGCAGTTGGAAAGTGTATTATTTGATTTCTATACGGAGACGTGCCAGTACTCTTTTGTGGTGATCGCTTCAAGTGTTCTTGTTTACCAGAAATTGTACTCAAATGGTTGTATTTTGGTGATCGTTCTTGATGTTCGCTTCTTTAATTTTGTTTGCCTTTTTTGCTGTTCACTCCTGAGACAGTACAAGATGGCTTTCAATATTGTAAATAAATAAATAAATAAATATATAAATAACACACAACTGACAACGAAGTTAAATTGCTGAAAACCGTTGTTTTTTCAACAGAAGAATATGTGGGCCCGGTCGCGGCAAGATCCGACCAGTCCGAGTCGGAAGAGGAAGATGTGCACGCTTACAGCATCGCCTCAGATGGCATTTCCTTCTAATTCTTTGAGGTATACCTCGAAGAATTGGAAGAGGGTTTTCTTTTTCAGACGAAAAACCTCTTCTTCAAGGAATGCGGTGTGCTGAGCGCACGCTGCAGCTCGCTCTATATGGCGATCTCAAGTCTACAGCTGATGGCGAGATCGTACAAAGCGTCCGAAAAGTTGTGAAAGAAATGAGGTCGCAAACCGTGCTGTCCCTACTTTGGAAAGTTAATCTGACGAAGCCCATCCTGGATTAAGTTGAGAGGTGGATGTCGACAGGGGCCATGTTGCGACAATCGCTGGACTCATAAAAATAGACACATAAGAAACGTTGATTGGCAAATTGCTTTGTAGGCAACACTAAATTGCGTCTGTTTTTCTTGTTTTGTGTGCTCACCAGAGTGGTCCCAATACATTAAAAGAAAATACAACAGTCAAGCATACGCCAACCGTTTCATCAAACTTTATTTCTTTAATAAAAAAAATTATTAAAACGACCTGGGTACATAGAAGCGTAGGTAATTTATTTCGTTATGGAGGTAATTTTATTGATTTTTTATTTGTTCACCAGGATCAACCACGCATTAATTGGCACGTCCACGAACACAAAGATTTTGGGGATTTTGTTAAAGCGGGGGGGGGGGGGGGGAAACAAGGTAATGGAAATGTCTCTTCAAAGTTTAAGTGCATCAAGTTAAATATGGGAAAGTCGGACACACAGGTGAACGGAACATTTCAAGGATGCGCTTATGTATGGAGGCCCGGTCTAGAGACTCAACGAGAGCCTCGGCTACACAAATAGGCCGGCAGTATGGCATCTGGAATCAATTAACTTTATGCGGCTCTTTCACGCCAATTACCCACAGGTCCCGATGCGATTAGTAGGACTGAAAAGTGCTTGCCGAAGAGCGGCGAGCGAATGCACGAGGCGGACGGCCCCGTCCAACAACCGCAGCCGCCTTGGCAGCAGCAACAGGAGCGCAGAACATCTTGACGCCCAGTCAGAGGGAGTGCCATTACCGCACGCGTTTCTTACTCCGCGGTCCGACTGCAGCCAACGGTCTGATAGAGGCAGTCGAGGTGCGCTAAAAGGGTATCGTCATAGCTCTCGTCATATTTTTGCGTTTTCCGTCACAGTCTAAGCCATTCACGCACAGCGACGTCCACAGGGGACTTTTTGTTTTCACGCAATTCGACCACGTCAGCGTAAAGGCGTGCCGCTAGGGACCACCCGCAATGCGAATCGAGGGCCCAACGCGAGACCTCTCAGGGACGCTTATTGGGACTTCTTCACAGAGTTTAAACCACGGTGCAAATCTGGAGTTCTGCTTGGCAGATTTGGGCGTCCCGGTCTTTATGTATCAGGACACGACCGTGACATTTCGCGCCCGTTATTTGACATGAGACGGCTCGGTCGAGTAGAGAAGCTAACTCTGCATCTTGAGGAGTTTGTAAAATGGGCCAATTTGGCGCTCATGAGACCTGCCATGACGACCGCCGAGAGTGGTGGCGGTGCAATGACTGGCGAAATCGGCAGTGAATAACTTTCTTTTAGCAAAACCAGCAACGCGTTAGCGCTAAAAGCGTCGAGCCACGACAATCGCAAGTTGAAGCATTTCCGTGGTGGCAAACGTGTAAGCCTGTAACACTGGCGGTTCCTTACCCTAAACCCCCCTCCCCTCTCTTCCCCTTTCAACATCGTAAACCACTGGCACCTGTAGAACTTGAAAAAAGGCCACCGCCGCGTTTGTTGAGTCGCCGAAATGGCGCGCGTTTATTAACGTGCTTAAAGAAAGGCCGATCAGGTACCGCCAAAAGACCGACATAACCAGCCTGTTTTGCTACGCCGCTGCGCCTTAGAGCACGAGACGGCACAATCCCTTACATGCACGGCCGTCTGACTCCTTGAACTAAAGTTATGGCGGTGTCACGCACGCACCGAACATTTAGTGAGATCGGTTTATGATCTCATTGGTTTTGCTCTGTGAGTAAATTCCAATGCGACTTGGGCGAAGTACGTGAAAAGCCTCCCTTGTGGTCGGGCCTTAATCCTGCGGTTTGTTCTGTGGGGCACTGGTTTAGCCGGAAAGAGCGAACAGAGTAAAACGACGAATTGTGTGACTATATGCATTATTGAGTGCTAATTGAATAGCTCCATCTAATCGGAGTGTTGTCTGTGGTCGCAAGTATGAAACGGGATATAGAAACTTCTGTTTCCAGTTATGCGGACACACTTAGGGAGATTGCGTAAGACTCCTGCGGATGGAACTCTCAAATTAATCATCTCTAATATTTCTAAATAGACGCTTCCGCTTGGGTGCCATAGACCATGGTCAAAAAGTGCACCCGATAGTTAAAGCAGCAATCGATTTCCGGTGAATTCAAACTCACACATAATCGTAGCAGTGATTCGTGAGTCCAGCCATCACGGTACCGTCGACGACTGTGTGATCACACAGAAACGCAGACCCTCCGTCTTCGCCCGCAATCACCTAGATCGAGCAATGAAAAAAGAAAAATATCCGGTGTTCATCTCACAGGACTTTGTGTTGCAATCTGACAAGAGTAGCATTTACACTTAATAATATGACTATAAAACCAGAGGTAATAAAAAAGGTAATTTCCTGCGTTCAAGACGAGTTTAAAATCTAAGCAGTAGAGTAGAGAAGAGTTGTGGCATATGCACGTGGAGATTGCCTTTTTTCACTGCGAAGCTGTTTATGGCTAGCGTTCAGTAAAATTTTGTGTCTGTCAACAGGAACTGATGTCTGAAATTTCACGCAAAATCGCTTCATTCCGTGCAACAGCTTATATACCTCATCACTTGGATATGCATTTTCACTAGATTATTTATCAATAGGCAACATTTTCAAGATCAGTACACTCTCAGGTGGGTAATAAAAGTCGCCCAAAGATTTGCCGCAGTTAGATCCGCGTCGGCCATGTCTACGATCGCACCGCCCTCTCATTGTCGTCGTTTCAAGCGCTCGCTTCCCTAGTTTCCTTTCCTTCCGCTTCCCTGAGGTGGCGGTCCCATCGCGCGTCATGAGTTTCCTCCGGCTCCTCGGGGCGGGTCTGCGTCATGTGCTAAACAACTTCGCAGGTCATCCACCTCCACAGAGTGGAATGACTCATGATTTTTTTTTTAAATATACTTGGTAAAATGGTCACTGACAAAGTGGCAAAGGCAGGGAGTGCCTATGGAACCCCCGTCCTCCGGCCAGCGCTTTATGCCTTCCACCCTGCTCTGGCTGCGCGCGCACTCTTGAGGTGCTCGTGATGTCAAAGCGTTGTCCAACATAGAAAGCTCGTGCTGGATTCGCGACAACTGAAGCTCCTCTCGGGCGAGGTCACCTTGTAAGTGACTATAGTATCTGCTTAGTTGTCGTAGCTCATATGTATTTGAATTTCCGAAAGTTTTGAAACACCGCACCCGGAAAAGGTTATCAAATGCCTAAGCATTTATTGCCCTGGTGAATGCAGCAGTCTCGGGTTCGGATGGACTGGTTTGTGGAGGCCACGGCGCAGTTTTTATCGTGCTCCATTACTCCGATCGTTCATTCGTGACGTTCATTTTCCCTTTTACGTGATAGTGAAGCAGCGTTCTCGCAGGCTTCTAATGAGGCGCCGCTGTTCGTGCGCACTCTTATTACGAGGGCAACACAGCTTGAGGGTTTCGAGATTTCCTCAGTATGCACAGCGAAAGCGACAACGTACAACCGAGGCATAGCGACGACGCCGTTTGCGAGAAACCGCCCACTCCCAGGAAAAAAGATCGGCTTTTCGAAGCCAAGAGTATGCGGACCGTAGGCGGAGTTCGCGAGAAGCTGTGGTGTCTGAATCCGAAACCTACGTCACCCGGAAGAACAGATTGGCTATCCGTAGAAAACCAACTCCCGCTCTAAATGATAGTGCACAGCGTTAAGAAACGGTTTAGCAAAAGCGTCAATTTCACCCTAAGAGTCTTTTAAGATGAAGCGAAATATTTATGGTTGTTGTCATTCCACTCACGCACGATTTTAGTACAAATGTTGACGTTAAAACAAAATTTCTTGAGCATTCTTGATATAAAAAAAACGTCAATCTTGGCAATTTTTTTTTTTTAAGTTTTTGATAATTGAAGTGGCTGATGCGAAAATGAGGTTTCACCCATAAGTTCGGAACCGCATGTTTGAACGCTCGCTGTTTGCTCACTTCTCAAAATAAAGCGATAGGACTCTTTTCTAGGCTTAAGGAGTGGAACAAAAAATTATATTTTATATATATAAACAAAATATGTAACTGTGTTTCATCGATGATTTGCTGCAAATTTTGGCACGTTCATATGATACCTATATGACAGTTTAATGACTCTGACATCATCATAAAGTCCAAATTTATTTTGTTAGGAATACAAGTTTGCCATTATAAGTTCAATGTCAAATTTGTGACATACATTTGAACCACCGAATGTTCAAAATTTTGGAGATTCGGTTTTATATTTTTTTTTTAAATCACATTTTTTATTTGTTTTTTTTTTTGTGTTAAAGCTAGTTATATTAGTGGTTTATTGAACAATACAGTTATAATATAAAAACACTGTTTATATGCAGCAAATAAAAGTTAGACGTTATGAAATTTGCATTTTAAACCAGAAAGCTTTGTTGCGCAGTAAAATACATTTGACTCAGCATTACGCAAAGTTTACTCAAGCTTTAAGCTTACATGGCAAATAAACTATTAGTATTAACCAATAAACCACACTACGCAACAATGCACGCCAGAATAGCACATGCGCGAGGAGGCAGGCACAACAAACAACTGAGCAATTTACGTTTTAATTGCGGTTACACAACCAAATATTTAATTTCGGTTTTTATTTGCGGAGAAACATAATTTTTTCTCACTACCAACAAAACACGAAAGAAAAAATATATTTTTTTTTATAAAGAAAATAGGTCCTAAATTTTCAGACATGTTTAGTCATTACTTCGTTCGACTGTGCATATAACAAACTATAATTCGAACATAAAATATTAAATTTGAAATCATTACAAAGGTAAGCTCGACCTTTCCTTTGAAATCAAGGTAATTACTGTGCCTTCTTTAGGTCATACTTAAAAACGTGCAAACCTTTTTCAGATTTCTTCAGGTGAGGAGCAGAGTTCGACGTTTTCCTAAATGTTACTTAAAGAAACATGTTCGCTCAATTAATTATGTTGAATAAAACTATTATGATGTTGCTGCTCAAGAGTCCTAGTGCAATATTCTGTGAAGTACTAAAACGGTGAGTAGTAAACATGCAATTCCCGACAGATGGTAGAAATCTAGATGTGTCAGATGAACAATTTTTGTAAATGTTTCGCAAGTTTTTAAGTTCCTGATTTTCTTCCTTCATTTACCTGGCGATCTTTTAAATTCACTCATAATATCCCATACGCTCCTATCCAATACGGTGTGTGAAAGTGCTCTTTCCTTTTATTAACACGTTCATATACATCTACATGAGCTGCTAGTTGTGTTGCCGGGATAATGAACAGTAAAATAACCATCGAATGAACGAACCACCAAGGAGTGAGATTAAATATAAACATTTTGGTTGGGCGACATTGTCAGACAATGAATATTGAGTTGATGTCTATTCACAAGCAATCATGAAAAAGTTGCGGCATCCCCTTAGGGTCTGTGTCCATATATGTGGTGCTTACCTGAACTGGCTTGTCCCACCACCGATTGGCTGCATATTCGGCGTTCGGGCCGCCCCTGTATACCTGCCGGGGCCAAGCCACATCGTAGGGCTCCGCATCTGCCAACCCGCCGTCTAAGCACACCACGAGGGCAGCCCGCTTGATCGCTTCCAGAGACTTCGCATTCTGAGCATCTGCGTCCACATGATCAGAAATACGAATGTGCAATGTTTCGTGTTAGAGAGAATTACATAATTGACGAGGACAAGACAACACATATGTCTAACTGGCAGACTTCATTTATTGTCACATTCGTCAACATCTGCGACTGCTGTCACGCTGAGCTGAAGGATTGAGGAGGAAAGGAAGGAAGGGTAGAAGTGGGGAGAGAAAACCATGTTGTCGAGACTGCGCTAGGCGCAGAATTTGCGGCGGCGGTAAGAGCAAGGCAGGTTTGGTAAAAAAAGGGGGAGCGTAATAAGGGAAGTGACATTGAGGAAGAATGAAAGGCCCCCCAAGTTTGTTGTAGTTGTGAACACGCAAAAGCCACGTCCGCGTTGGAGAAACATAGCGATGAAGGCATAATGTTTTACGGAGAATGGTGCATGGCAAAAGCTTGGATTATCTCGCGGCCGTATATCGACCTGTAGCTTCAAACTGTGGGGGTGGCGGAAAACTCTGTTTCGGAGGACTCCATTTGCTGGAGTGCAATCTATCTTTAAGGTGATAGTTTTTTTCCTTCTCTACTTGTTTTCCCGCGCTCTTGTCTGCGAGTGATTGGTTCAGCGAGTAAAATTAACAACCCAAGTAGCTGAATTATATGTGTGAGTTGATTTGGTTGATACATGTTCAGAGAATGTGAAAAAACAGATTGAACGAAAACCCACTGACACAGAAACATGGCAAACCCATTTCATGTCGCACAATAGGTGGGGACCATGGAGGCCCACGTGGACATTGTGGGCTTAGGCAGCGCCTGCGAAACTCACGTTTTTCTCACGTGGGCAGGCCGATTTATGAGCTGCCCACGCAGTTGCGCGTTAGGTGAAACCTCCCATATGCTGTGCAAAATTTGGCACATCGTGTGCATACCCATCATGGGCTGCACATGCAATTCCTTTGTGGGTTCCGCCTCCGCTACGCTAGGGCACGCCTAATTTGATCCTCCCCTACGATATCGTTGTTTCTTGCACTTCGACTCTGCGAGGGCAGAATTGGAGCGGATGTAGGCTTCAGGGCGGCAAATAATGTTCCCCTTCAACTTAGGCTGCCCATGCAATTTCTCAGTGGCTATTACCTCGGAAATGGGGGAGGGCAAGGGGGGGGGGGGTGCTAGTTAGCATATCTGAATGCAACGCGTGGGACCTCTAGAGTTGGTCTACCCATGTAAAACACAGGTCGGCCCCTGTATGGTTCTTGTACGGCCAAGGTCCCACGTCTGCCGTACAGGGGCAAATTTGCGATAATGCGGGCTGCACGGCGGCGAAGCTTGGGCGTGCCCGAATCGAGCTGCCCACAAAACCTTCGTGGAACCCACCTTGGTTTACGGGGGCCAAGTTGCGATAAAGTGGGCTCAACGGCGGTGATGCCTCGGCACGCCCGACTCGGACAGCTCATACAAAAACACCATGGGAGCCACCTGGACTCTATGGTGGCCAAATGCGAAATCGGGGCACCACGATGGTGAAAGGTAGGCGTGCTCGATTTGGGCTACCCATGAATAACCCTCGCGGGTCCAACCTCGGCTCTGCAGGGAGCCAAATTACGAAGATGAATGCTCCACCAAGGCAAAGCATGGGTATACCCGAATTGGGCTGCCCATGTAAAACCCCCTGGGACTCACCTCGGCTCTCCAGGGGAAAAGTTGCAATAATGTTTGCCTACACGGTGGGAAAGCGTGGGCGTTCCCGGGTGGAGTGGCTCATACGAAATGTCAGTGGGTCCCACCTCCACTTTGGAGGGGGGAAGTTGGGATGAAATGTGCTGCACGGTGGCAAAGTATGGGCTACTTGTAATGAATCCCCTAGGACCCACCTCGTGTCTACGGGGCCCAAATGCAAGGATGTGGGCTCTACGGAGTCTAAACTCTGGCGTGCTCGAGATGGTCTGCACCTCGGCTCTGAGGGGGAGGGAGGGCGGAAAGTTTACGAAGCATGGTGGCAGAGCGGGAGCATGAACAACTTTGGCCACTCAGTTAAAACACCGTGGTTCACCTCGACTGTGCGGGGCACAATTATACTAATACTGGTGCTTTATGGCGGAAAAGTGTGAGCATGAACAACTTAGGCTTTCCTTGTAAAAGCCCAATGGGCCCTACTTCGGCTCTGCGGGGGACAAGTTAGCAACTGCGTAGGCCACATGTTGGCAAAGCGTGGGCATACCCGACTTGGGCTGCCCATGCAAAACACTCGCGGAACCCAAATAGGCTTTGCGTGCGCCATGTTAGCAGTGGTGCGGGCTCCACGATGACTATGCGTTGAGGTGTCGAAGTTTCCGTCCTAAGTGAAACCCCCGTGGGTTCCAGCCTCGGCTGTGCAGGGGGCAAGTTATCGATGTTGTGGGCTCCTCGGCGACAAAGCGGGGAATGCCCGACTTAAAATGCCAAACTAAAATCCCGTTAGTCCCAACTTGGCTGTGCGTTCCTCATGTTAGCAACGGTGCGGACTTCACAATCGCAAAGCATACACATGCTCTACTTGGTCTGCCCATGTAACACCTTCGTGGTTCCGCCTCTACTCCGCGGGGGACAAGTTAGCAGCGGTGTGGGCCTTACGGTGGCAAAGCGTGGACAAACCCAACTTGGGCTGCCCATGAAACGCCCCCCTGTGTCCCACTTCGGCTATACGCGACCCTTATAGGGGCATGCCCAATTTCAGGTGCCCTTGTAATCCCTCCGTCGTTTCCACCTCGGCAACACGAGAGAACGTGTTATCTGAAAGGTAGGCTCTACAGGGACACCACATGGGCATGCCTAACATGGGCCGCCCATGCATTCCCCTGGGACCTACCCGCTTATACGGCGAGGAAGGCAGCATAGATTTTGGCTCCAAGGTGGCAAATCATGTGCATGCCCAGCTTGTACTACCTGTGCATCTCTAAAAACGGAACTTTCCGCTAATATTGGAAATACTTCACGTTGTAGAAATTCAACATAAGCCATTTGCTTAATTTGATACCAAACATGAGTGAGGATTTTCAGGGTTGCTAAACATTATTATTCACTTATTACTGAATGTGCGTATTGGGAAAGTCATTTTACATGAGGTGGAAATTTTTACGTAGTACATTAAATTTGAGGGTGACTTGGAAACGCGCTGGTCTGAATGCCGTTTCTGGTCTACAATTTGGTGTTTGTCGACGGCTCAAGTTGATTATGTATCCCGACAACTGACCAACAAGACTTTTATAGATATATGCGCAGTTTTTATGTTACATTTCGTACAAATTTGAAATATCCAATTTTTATGGGCTTGCTCAAGTCGTTCCTTTGATCTATCAAGATGGTTACATTTTCAGCAGGCACTTGGAAAAGTGAAGAATGCTCAGTTTGGTATACACTGCAATATCCCACACCGTAAGAAAAATATAAAATGACCTTGAACGAAATAAGGTGCCCAAGACGACTTTATGTGGATTGCCCATATAGGGTCCTGTTGGCCCCGCATGGGGCCCATATGGGCTGCCCACCTACACCCCCATGGGACCTCGCAAGGAGGGCCCTTTTGGGCTACTTAAGTAGACCTCCTGTGGGTCGCACGAGGGGAGCCCATATGCGGTCCCCAAAGAGGTCCCCTGTGGGTACCCTAGGAAGCCCAGGTGTACTTTCCAAGCAGGCGCTACTTGGGCCTTACTTGCAAACCCTGTCGTGGGACCCGGTTGGCTGCCCAAGTGGGACTCAGGTCGGCTCCCTTTTCAGATCCCACTTTTTGCTAGAGGTCCCTCAAGCGAAACCGAGATGGGCTGCCGAAGTAGGCCCCCATGGGTGCCGTGAGGGAAACCCACGTGGGCTGCTCAATAAGGCCACCTAAAGCTCTCACGAAGAAAGCCATGGCTGGCTGCCCAAGTTGGCCAGCTGTGGGACTTACCAGATCAAAGCGTTTGCCAGCCCTAGTCGGGCCGACTTGGCCCTGAGTCGCAAAACTGATGTGGGACCCTGTGGGCCCCATAGCAGGCCTACTTGGTTCTCCGACGTAGGCTTCTAGCATGGGACCTACAGCAGCTTACTTTGACAGCCCACACGGGTTCCCCTAGCGGTATCCACAGGAGGCCTGCTTCGGCAGTGCACATGGGCAACCTTATCTGGACTACCCACGTAAGACATGCAGGGGGCCTACTTGGGTAGCCTACCTAGGCTTCTGCCGAGGGACATCTAGCACGAAGTGGGCTCTGAAAGACGGGACATCGTGGGTTCCACTTGGGAAGCCCACGTGTGTCCCACGTCGGTTTTGCAAGTTGGGCCATTGTGGGGCCCGTCTTGTCAAGCCCACCTGGGCCACTCACGGGGGACTCACAAGGGGCCTACTTGGGCACCCAACATGAGCTCTCTCCGTGGGACCCAGAGTAGGCCTACTTGGGTAGCACACGACGCCACTTCTTGTTGGGCTCACAAGATTCCGAAGTGGGCAGGAAACATGGGCCCCCCTCGTGAGGCACACAGTAGGCATATGTGAGCAGCCCACATTTGGTTCCCCAGAGTACCTCATTTTGCTCATGGTCATGTTATAATCGCCTTACGGTGTGCGGTACTGAAGTACATGCCGAATCGATCACGCCTTGCTTTCCCCGTTATCCTACTCAAAATATTACCATTTTGATATATTAACGCAACGTCTTGAGCAAGCCATTCAAATTGGGGATTTTAAGTGTACGTAAGGAAGACGTTGTCTATTCCTTTTTCATCTTACTTCACGAGTTTCCGTTTATCAAACCAGAGTCTCAGGCTTTCAAGTCATCATGTATAACTTACACCTGCTCGCCTGCACTTTAATCGTTTTTCATTGAATGTACACGTTTCTATATAAAATTGTATTGGACACCTAATCGGGATACATAACCAGCTTGAGCCGTTTGTAGGTACCGAATTTTAGAACAGATACGACATTTTGACGATACTGTTTCGAAATCACTCGCAAATTCTATACTCTGCGTAAAAGATTAAATCAAACTGAGCTTCTTTGTTGAACTTTCAGAACCTGCAGTAAATATTCTCATAATTGGCAAAAAGGGCCAGTTTGGGAGTTGCACAGTTAGTCCAAGTTGGGCATGCCCACGCTTTGACCCCATGGAGCGCAGATGTATGCTAACCTGCCCCGTATGGCAGAGGTGGGACGCAGGGAGCATGCATGGGCAGCCCAAGTTAGGCATGCCCACGCGTTGCCTTGTGTAGCCTACATTTGTGGTAGCTCTTTCCCCGTAAAGCCGAGGTGAAACACACGGGGGCATCATTGCATGGGCACCCCAATTTAGGTAGGCCCCCGTATAGCCCGGCTTTCTGATATATCTCCTCCCCGTATAGCCGAAGTGGGACCCTCCGGGACCTTGCACGAGCAGCCTGATTTCGGCATTGCCATGCGGTGCCCCCTTGGAGCTTGTCGCTTCCCTAAGTCTGCACCTGTATTGCCGAAGTGGGACGAACGGGGGGCATTGCATGACCAGCCAAAGTTGGGTATGCTCACACTGCGCCCTTGTGAAGCTAACGTCTTGACTAATTCTGTCCTCGCATAACCAAGGTTTACCAATGGGGGCATTGTAGGGGCGGCCCAAGTTGTGTATGTCCACTTTTCCTTACCATGGGGCCGGCATCAATGCCATTTTGGCCCTTGAGCAAATGAGGTGGGAACCACGGGGCTTTTCTCAGGCAGCCCAAGTTCGGAAGACTCACGTTTTGCCACCATGGAGCCCGCACCATTGCTAACGTGTTGCGCACAACCTAAGTGGGATCCCCATGGGATTTACATGGACAGCCGGAGTCGGGCACAACCACGCGTTTCCACTGTGGAGCCCACACCATTGCTAACTTGGCTCCTGCACAGCCGAGGTGGTTTGACCCACGGGGCCTTACTTAGACAGTCCAACTTAGGCACACCCACGTTTTTCCACCATGAAACCTGCACCATTGCTAACGTGGCTATCACAGTTATTTTGTTCAATTTATATATTAATGAGATCGTGATCCTAGATAAAAATACAAAATATATCATCTGACGATATCAGTTTGTTTCTCACAGGTGTTTGCTGTGACGACTTACCACATACTGCGATTTAATCTCTGCAGAAGTTTGGTAGTTGGAGCAATGCTAAAGCTTTAAAAATCAACGTTAACAAGACTAAGGCTATTTTGTTTAAACCGAAGAATAAAAATGCAGTTAGTACAAGATATATCGTTTTGAATTCGAGAAAACCAGAAGTTTCGTTAAGTTTTAATCTCTTGGAGTTGTTTTCACGCAACATATGACTTGGGGTGTACATGTAACCCTGTCTTGATAAAGCTGTCACGTGTGCCTGGCATAATGTCCGTCACCGCTCTATATGCCGAACAATTCTAAATTGTTAATTTATAACTCGTTATTTATTTCACATATACATTACTGTTACCTCGTCTGGGGAAATACTACAATGAAAAATTTGAACAAGATACTTATGCTATTAAAAATCTCTGCGAATAATATGTAAAGTTTTATAGGATTACCCTTGTAAACCTTTCTTCACTAAATTTAAGTTATTGCATATTTACAATAGCTATAAATATCGGTTAAGTCTAAGTTATTGGTCTAAAATAAAAAATAATGTAGTCAATCTTAGTGAACTAGCATCTTTATCACTTAAATTGGCAACATATCACACTCTTAGCCTAGACAACTGGAAAGTCCCCAGTTGTAGAACAACATATGGTGAGCAAATGCTAGGTAACGTGCTTCCGACCCTACTTCATTACCTTAACACTCATGATATTCATCCTTTAACATCAGCAGTAAAATATATCAGATAATTTTTTTTGCTTGTAGAGTAAATTGCATTCAAATGATTAAGTAAATATTTCACTCAATGTCCTCATTTATAAGTTACAGTTATACTCGTTGAGAATGAATTTCGTGAATGAATATAGTATTACACAGTCGTGCTATATATCTTGAATCTTGAACCCTTGAATGTTTTGAATATCTTGAACCATTGAATGTGCACTTATTTGTTTAGTAAACCGTCTGTTTAGCAGAGCTAATTTATCTGCTACATAGAATGCTCTAGATAAATTACTGACCTGCGAATTTTTTTACTATTTTTTTTCCTTTGTTTCTTTACAAAGTGATACATTTCTTTTGTGACCTGCCGCTGTTGCCAATCGGGGGGGGGGGGGGGGGGGGGAGGGGGGGGGGGGAGGGACTTGTCAAGGTGCACAAATGCAACTTTTTTCCTCAGTCCCCTTCCATCATGTACATGATTATTATAAGGTGGCACCGACAGAGTGCCGCCTTATATGGGCAGTCCGAGTTTGTCATGTTTCGTAAGCTTGGTACCCGGAAACTCATGTTGGAACACACCGGAGTTTCACATGGACTGCCCTGCTTGGGCACGCCCCCAATTTAGCCGCCGTGAAGCCCACATCATTGCATCTGGCACCAGTAGAGCCGAGGCGGGACCCACTAATGTTTTACATGGGCAGCCCAACTCGGGAACACTCACACCTCACCGACGTTGAGCCCACACCATCGCAACTCGGACCCCTCACGGCCGAGGTGGAACCATCATGGGGAGTCTAACTCGGGCGTGTCCAAGCTTTGCCCCTAATTCCGCTGACTCTGCCCCGCATTGCCGAGGTGGAACCTACGAATGTATTGCACGGACAGCTCAAGTTGGGCATGCCTATACTTTACCCCCCTGAAGCCCGCATCTGCGCTAACACTGGCGCCACAGAGCCAAAGTGAAACCCGCGGCGTTATCCCACGGACAGCCCAAACTAGGGATGCCCTCGCGTAGCCAAGGTGAGGCGGACGATTGCATTTCATCAGCAGCCCAGGTTGGGCTTGCGCACGCTGTGCCCAACGTTGTCCTTTCACATCCGAGATGGGACCAACGGCGCCGCTGCGTTGGCAGCCCAGGTTGCGCATGCCAATGTAGCGCCCACGTGCGACCAACGTAGATTTCGCAGGAGCTACCCGAGCCCCCGTTGCTCACGAGGGTCCCACATGAGCCCCACCTCTCGTGGGACTTGGGAAAGAGGACGAGAGCCGTGACACTTGTGACGCAGCTTGGTCACAGCTTTCCGCCATGGACCGCAGCGGAGAGCTGCGGTCCATGGCCGACACGAGTTCCGTACTTTATTATATTCTTTGAAACCCGATAACACGAGAAGGAAATATTCAAGTCAAAGACCGGGCAGAACGTCTGTAGTTTTACGCGAAGCTTTACACGGGTCTTACATAAGGGTCTTCTTGGCGTGCATCAAACGGACCTTCCGCACTGGAATGCACCCGAAAATTCGGTAAGTGCACATATAAAATACAAAATTTCACCGCAATGCGCAGTGCGCAGGTCAGTCTTAAGAGCGAAATTTTAAAGAGCAAATTATTTTCCGTGAGAAACGTAAGCTGCAAATTCGCTATAGTCTACGTTAGGCAGACGATTTAGTTAGCGAGGTTATGCGCCGACAAATTCACGAAGAGGAGGAGACGAGAGGGGACGTCAGAACGAAGAGTTCTGTTTGGAATTATTAGTGAGTACACCTAAAACTAGCTGCCGGTGTCACCACTGCGCTCGTGGAACGCGTTAAAACGGGGAGTGACCGCGTCCGGCGTTTTACTTTGGTAATATAAAGTATTCGCGAAGCGCAGTGGAGAGAAAAGCAGCTTTTGGCTTCACAACACTCGCCGAGCGCTTTAGAACGCGGAACGCCGGCGTCCGGCGTTTACCTCTCGCATTTTAACGCGTTCGACAAGTGCAATAGAGACAAGTGCAGCTAGCTTTGTGTCTACCCACTAAACATTTCAATTAGAGTTCGGCGTTCTGACGTCTTCGCACACTCTCGTTTCCTCCTCTCTCTGAGTTCTTTACCGCATTAACTTCTGGCGCAGTCTCCCAGAAGGAACAACGAGCACAAAACAGACAGCGTCGTCTGTTTGCTGCGTCTGTGAGGAGATGGCGCCAGAACATTATGCGGAGCGCAAGTTCGTCTTCTGCTTGCACGGGGGTTTCGATGATGTACGGATGTTGAGGTCTTATTGGCTGCTTGAAAGAAACAAAGTAGTGGGTTGACCTTAATGCATGTAGCGTTAAAGACTACCCAAACTTCCTCCAGTCAAAGCCCAACAGAACTCAGCATCGTCCTGCCGTCACCGCAACACCTGCACAAGAAGCAGGCGACTTGCTCTCCGAATAGCGTCGACAACTCTAAGGTCATCTGAGAACGGTTCTAGCGTGAGCTTTGACGACATTTTTGCTGTCATTTTGTACAAAAAAAAAATTACGCCTGGCGTTTTCACTCAGTAAGACCGACCTGACAGCCCATATTTGGTGAAAGCCTGTGCTTTCTGTGTTCAGTCGGCGATTTTGTTTTTCGGCTCATCTCGCCCCAGAAATTTCGTTAAGATACCCCATGCCTTCGGTTTGAAACTCACTTTGGGCAATACTGGCGTATATCTTCGCCCAGACGTCCCTGTCTTCCGCAGTTAGAATTGCGACGCCAACTTCCTTCTCAGGCGACATCTCCACGACTCGATTGAGCTGAGTGAAGATCCTGCTTTCGTCGTGGGGCACCCCTTGTGCATCGTAGGCCTTAAAAGTGAACATCTGCGCGGCACAAAACTCGGAATCAGCTTCAACGCCCAAAATACAGAATCAAATAAGTAGTTTGTTTTGAGTTTGCTTTGCGTTGACGAATTTATGCATAAAAGTACACCCGTCTTATATCTCACATACAAATATTTTGTGGAAGACTATAAAACCCGCTTTTGCTTTGCACCTAATAGGCAACCTATGCATCTAAAAAGAAACATATTTATGTTTAGGTCTCCATAGGGCTTAGTATTTGTAAAATAAAAAAGTATATATATATATATATATATATATATATATATATATATATATATATATATATATATGTGTGTGTGTGTGTGTGTGTGTGTGGGCGGTTTCATTTGGATTCAAGCAACGAGTGGCAGTCGTATTTATTATTTTTTTTTTCAAAATTTTTATATTTCGCGGCGCATTGGATTCAGGCAACGAGTGGCAGTCGTATTTATTATTTTTGTTCAAAATTCTTATATTTCGTGGCGCATATTCCAAGAATAAGAATACTTTTTATTTTAATGTCCTGACATGTTTAGTTTCTGAGAAAAACAAATCTAAAGAAGCGGGCGCGGGAAAGAACGACGAGGTTTTGACGATTGTTGTGTGTGGCGTCTTTTAATCACTCTCAGTATCAAAGTATTCAAAAGAGAGCGTCGATATTTTTAGTGTGATATATATGGAAGCAGGTAAGACGACATTATAACTACTATTTATTATTCGTTGCCCAAATTTTTGGAAAAATCCCCAAACATGCCTCCGCGAACAACTGTGACCTAAATGGAGGATTTTGTGTTGAGTCGACTATGTTTAGTATCGCTTTTAAAATAATACCAGGCGTGGAATCTTTCACTTCCTTCCAAATTAAGCAAAGTTCGTGTTTTTATCATGTACGAGTACTGAGAAATAAATTATGAAACAGTGAGAATTTTCATTTTTCGTTCAATTTCAGCACGCTGTATAAAAAAAAACATTTTTAATTTATTTTTCGTGTCGCGTTCTCTTCACACCCTTCTTTTAGCCAGAATACATTCCGTTGGAGGTATTTGCCTTGGTTTTGAGTTTTAAGCCTCTAAATATGCTAAAAAGGAGCCCATGCCCCTGGTGGGATTTGAATATTTTCGTGTGTGGCGCTTTTGAACCGCTCTCACTATCAAAGTATTCAAAAGAGAGCTTCGAGATTTTTTTATTGTGTCATATATGCAAGTCGGTAAAATGACATTCAAACTAATATTTATTATTCGTCGATCCAATCTTTGTAGAAATCCCCAAACATGCCTCAGCGAACAACTGTGACCTAAACTGCGGATTTTTTTGTTAGTCGACTATGTTTATTTTTGTTTTTAAGATAATACCATGTTTAGAACTTTTCATTGCCTTCCACAAATGTAAAGTGTGTGTCTTAATAACGTACGGGTACTGAGAAATTATTCATGAAACAAAGAAGGTTTTCACTTTTTGTTCAAGTTCAGCTCGCTGTGTGTCGCGTTTTTTCATTTTTTTTTTAGCAAGCATACATTATTTTAGAGGTGTATGCACTAGTTTTGAGTTTTAAGCCTCTAAATATGCTAAAAAAGAGCAAATGCTGATGGTGGGTTTATGGGCTATAGCTGTATATTTTATTCTTTATTATAATAATCTAAGGGACTTTGAATAAATGCTCACATAAAAAATATGAATGTCGTTAGGCGTATAGTAACAAGTTTGCTATTCCAAACGTCTAAACACTATAAAATTGCGACTCCCGAAAGCGGGTTTTAAGGCAATTTCCACCGGTGCCATGATTGGAGGGGCCTCAAGCCTAAACCATATGCGCTACATAATCTATACTACGTTGGAAATATCAAAGTATTTCCAACGTATTAGAGTAAAACGCACTTCATATTGGAAACTTAGATTTTTAAATTCGAAATTTTATATTTCTAATGCGAAATTCATGTTGATAACATAACCGAATCATTTTTAGCATATTCAGAGGCCCTTAAAACTCAAAATTAGGGAATATACCTCTAACGGACTGTACTCTGGGTAAAAAAAAAAAAGGTGAAAAAACGCGAAGCAAAAAAAAGAAAGAAAAAAGAAACATTTTTGTTTATACAGCGCGCTGAAATTGAACGAAAAGTGAAAACCTTTTCTCTTTCATAATTTATTTCTCAGTACTCGTACGTGATTAGGGCACACACTTTACATAATGTGAAAGGCAATGAAAGCTTTTACATGTGGTATTATATTAAAAACAAAACTAAACATAGTCGACTAACAAAAAAATCCGCAGTTTAAGTCACAGTTGTTCGCGGAGGCATGTTTGTGGAATTTTACAAAGATTGGATCGACGAAAAATAATTAGAAGCTGGAATGTCGTTTTACCTACTTAAATATATACCAAAATAAAAGATATAGATGGACTATTTTGAATACTTTAGGATTGAGAGTGGTTCAAAAACGCCACACACGAAAATCGCCAAAACCCACCGTAGGCATGTGCTCTTTTTTAGCATATTTAGAGGCTTAAAACTCAAAACAGAGGCAAATACCTCTTACAGAATGTATTCTGGCTAAAAGAAGGGGCACCATGACAGAACAGCACACGACATAACAGTACGCTACAAAACAGCACGGTCAAAACAGCACGCGTCAAAACAGCACAGCGTCAAAACAGCACGGCGACAGTACAGCACGCGTCAAAATAGCACGCGACAAAACAGCACAGCGTCAAAACGGCACAGCGACAGAAGAGCACGTGCCAAAACAGCACGGCGTCAAAACAGCATGACGTCAAAACAGCACAGCGACAAAACAGCACAGCGACAAAACAGCACAGCGACAAAACAGCACAGCGTCAAAACATGAAATTGACAATATAACTAAAGCTCGGCGTTTTCGATTTGTATTATTTGAAATTCTGCGCACTTTGTTTTTGGATTTTATTCCAAACAGAAGTTTTCAGTTTATTGCGGTGAATATTTGTAGACTCAAGAACTTCTAAGTTATATTCGGTTTGTTGACGAAAACCAGTATACTAACGAAAATGCAATAATTAAAAGCGTTTGTGTAAAATGTATACTGAGTACCAGGTGCTGATCTTCTTATTTGTTGCCGTCTTTGGCAGCCGACACGACCTGTTCTGTAAGACGCACTCGGCCTTATCCTGATCTGTCATTATCGTCGTGTGCTCGCATTTGTACACAGGACGAGCATGAGCTTCAGTACCACTTCGGTCGGAGAGGCGAATATCAAAATGGAGAAATTAGCAAGCATTGTACTCGGTGCGTTTTCCACCAGTTTCGTAACTGCGAGAGGTGATAAACTCGCGCCGACGGCAGAAATGACAATAAAACACTCGTATTTATGCCCTTCTCTAGTAGACTGAAGTTGGGGGTGTTAAAAAATGCGCGGCATTTACGGACACTCTTGGTTTTCCATTGTTTGATTTCACGATTAAACTCTCTTCTTTTAACAAAGAATTCGGCACAAATCCCTATCAGGTGAAAAACCCAGATTTTGTCCTGAAGACCCCTGCACCCCCGCAGCTTTTGATGAAAGTTGAACCGATCTCGCAGGCAAGCTGAAAACTGCGAAATGAAGTGGTCATACGGTCAGTAATGAGTAGGGTTCCGTGTTTTCGGAGTTTAGTTTTCGTAAAGTTCGGAGGGTGTTTTTCTGAGTTTATTTTTTGCCGAAAATTCAGAGTTTATCGGAGTTTATTTTTGTTTGATTCCGAATTCTCCAAAATTTGGAGCTCAATTTCGCAGTGTTTCTTATTAAAAATAAACAAATAATATCCAAATGTAAACTTATGCTGGACAAAAAAACAAGAAAACAAAAAAAAGAAAACGTGATTGTATCAATATTTTTTTCAGTCGGATTTGGCGTTGGTGCCATTGCTACTGGCAATACTAATTCGTCATAGAACAAAAGTGGCGCACAAGTGTTCGATAAAAGTCGATACCTTAAAATTAATAACCTACTGGAGGTAGTCGCTGGGAAGTCTGTATTCATTCCATGCTATTCTATCAACCTACCGCGCGGCCGCAAGATGTAGAGTGGAAAAGGATTAGATAGAGAAGTTTCATCTGTCCTCTTCCCCACTTTATGTAATTGCTGTGGTCCATAGCTTTCACGGTTTCAAAAACACAACCTCTCCTTCCTCTCAGGCAGAAATAATATGACCCAAACCGGAAACATAAACAGTAACTTTTGTCTTGACCCGATAGTAAAATGACCTGTTGTCCTGACCGAGATTTGAAACATAAGTGTAGTGGCATTTTCCCAGGACCATTTACTCTATGCGCTGATTAAACCATTAATTGTAAAATATGTTTCTGTGTATGTGGCCCGGGGGAGGGGGGGGGGGGGGACGCGGGAGGGGATTGGTAAATCGAAATTCAGAGTTTATCAGATATATCTGAATAGACGAAACTTTTACCGGCGGGCGTTTTTCGAATTTATCTGAAGACACGCAACCCTAGTTATGAGTAACATTCTCCCCCCTCCCCCCCCCCCCCACCCATGCATACACACACCACTCCAAACGCCCTCGAAAATACTGAACTTTTTCAGTTAAGACCGATTTTGGAATGATGAATTCGGCGTACTTTTACCGGTTATATTCGGTTTAACCCAAAACCGCTGAACTCTAAATATAGCGTTTGAAGTTAAAAAATGCACGTCTCAAATAATGCACTGTAAAGGAATTGAGGTTCTAGGCCAATTAGTCAAAAGCCAACTCGTCGACAGCCAATTTTTCGAATCTGTGCGTTTCGAGGCAAGTTCGGATAGGGGAGTACACTCGATGCGAGCATGACGGTTCCCTGGGCAGTACCAAAGCCCCGCTGGTGCGTATTCTGGCTATTTTGTAGCGTGAGCTACACTGGCCGAGGTTTAGCAGTTTCGAGTGGCTTGCATAATGAGCCGTGCTGCGCATGTGCGAGGAGCAGGGACGTCACACGGCGCACAGCTGGCGCGCCGGAGCCACCGCCGCCGCCGCACCCGCAGCCACCGCC